CAAAAGGGTGTTGGGGCAGATTCAAACGAGTCGAAACGAGTGCAATAAGACCTTTAGCTTTGTGTACTACTATGAGATCTTGGATACGACAACAGTGACATGCAGACTGTACTGAATAAACTGGAACGTGCTAGCCATGACAAAAGCAAGCGTCAAGGGTTCCTGTAAGCGGTTCCTTTTTGGGATGGAAGTTTCCCAAAGCTTGCGGCTCTGGGCGGAAGTGTGGTTTTAATGGATCGTTGAAGAAGCTTTTCAGGAACCTCCTTGGCGATTCCGGGTTAAAGCTTTGGGGCTTCGGAATTAGGCTTTAGGTTTAAGGGCCGGCAGGTTTCACAAAGACCTTTGCTATGTCGTCTCCAGCTTGAACTCCCGTTTGTTTTCGCAGAAGTTGACATGCGATCAGGTCAGACTGGGAGCATGTAAGCACACATGTAACGGTCTTTGAACATCTTTGGTGGATGCACGCCGACAATAAAGACCGCTGGAGGAGTCGGAGCGGTGGTGCCCGGGCGCACTGAAGGCACCCAACGATCGTGCGCGACACACAGAGCTGACAATGCTGGTACGTCCCATGCGGCCCCTCCTGTGGTGGATCCCAGGTCTACTTGCTTCTGAAGTCCAGCGCATAGGTGCACACTACGAGGAACGAAGGCGAGAACGAGGACGAAGACAGCACTCATATTTCATGGAAGTGTGTTGATGTGCATATCCACATATGTATATATAATATATTCTATTTCTATGTATGTAAATATATATATATATATATACATACATACATACATACATACATACATATATATATATATATATATATGTACATACCGACGGATATACAAAAACTTACCGGGAGCGTTTGCTGTTGGATGCTCTCAATGTATGGATTCTCCAAAATGGAGTGGGTGAAAAGGACTATACCATGAAGCGAGTTTTTCTGTTTTCCACAAGCAAGAACACACCAATCCAGATGGCAGCCAGGGTAACAATGCTGGCAACAGTAATCTTGCTGCGAACACTGGCAGTAAGAACTCTTCATACTGAAACAATGGTACTATAAACAACAATCTACCCACGCGCACACTCTCCCTCTCTCTCTCCTTCAGAGTTACTTTTCGGAACTGCATCTCTTACAAGAGTCGACAACCCTAGACATGAGCTGCGATCAAAAGATCTAAACATGGATCCGGATTCAGCGTTTTACTGCAATTTAGTTCAGGGTGATGGGTATATGGGGGTTTCGAAAGCTTCGGCATCAGACCTTGCCGATGTCGTCTGTCTCGTAAGATGACCGCACGCCCGAGCCAGTCGCCTCCGCAACCTGGCACGAGGCTTACGGCAAGCTTAAGTTGTCGACTCTACAGATTTACGGCTTGAGCTCGAGGGTTGCGGATTTGGGGACTGAGGCAAGGGGGGGCTTTATGGGGCTTCAGCTTTCGGAGGTTTTAAGGTGTAGCCAAGGGGGAATAGAGTTCAAGATATGATCCAGCGTCAGCTGATTGAAGTGCCGGATGAAGGGTGTGCCTTCTCAGCATGTACCGCAAATGCTTTCGCTTGAAGATGTACACGTATATATATATATATATATATATATATATATCATGGGTGGGCATGCTTGTATCTCGGGCTTCGTGTGGCACACAGACATGCACGTCGCCTGGTCAACACAAACGGCACGCAACATCGCAGCAACGACAATGAGCATATCTCCGCCAGACCATGAAGTCAAGCCCCTCTGCCGGCCCAATATTTTCAAGCTTTTTTTTCAACCGCCGATGTCTTCCGCTGCCTCAGAAGAAAGGAGGAGTGCGCTGGAACTTGTTGAAGATCGTTGACCAAAGACCTGCCAAGCTTTGAAGGTTTGTCTCACCAATAGAACCACAGCACGATAGAACAATAGAATTATGAAACAGTACAACAACGGAATGGTAGAACCATGCAGAGCTACAGTAAATGAGACGTTAAGATGGCAAAGAATTGAGGTCTTGGGGTTCATGATTCAGCCTTCAAAGCCCTACACACCATGTTTACACCGGAAGGGAACCCTATTGTCACTGCGACGATCATCACTCCTTATGCCGCTGGTAGCTCCGACATTTGACTGTTGATGTGTTCATTCTGGGGCTGGAAGTATATTTATCATCACCAGAGCTGCAGCTGTAGTACCAGAAGCAGTACAAGCATTAGTCGCAGCATAAGTAGGTCGTCGCTGTGGTGGTCGTAACAGAAATGCTTCTGCGTCTGGCATGAGTCTCTGCAGCTCAACTCGCTCAATGTTTATATTTTTATGCTTACTATGATTGTTGCTCATGTCACTCTTCTCATCCTTTCTTGCCACTGGCAAAAACCTCTCATGTTTCTATCGATCTTAGAATTTCGGGCCCGCTCATAGTACCCTGAAGGTACCCCAAATATCAGATGGATGGGACGCCCTGGCACGGAAACCCCAAGCCTTGCAAACCCAAATCCCAGCTCTGATGAGGAGTTCCTCTTAAAGGGGACCCCGCTATGGAACGCCAGAGGACTCTTGACAGCAAAAGCCCTACTACAGAATCCCAGAGTGCCCTTGAAGGGCTCCAGGAAGGGCTTCTGGAGGCGTTCTGGAACCCAAGATCCACCGAAGTCGTGAAATCCCGAAACCTCTTGGCCTGCCCCAACCCCGAACCGTAAGTAAAATAATGGTTAAAAGCCAGTAATGGCGATTATTTGCAGGGATCCATAAGGGTTTCTATGGTGTGTCTACAAGGGTACTATGAGGCTCATATTTGGATAGTTGTCGAAGTCTTTACACAGTCTTGGGATGCCTGGTAGTCAGGGCCTCATGCTGAGCGCTCTTTGAGCTGCGTCGCGTCGACCAGCGCCCCGATCTGCTTCTCGGAGGTGGACGTCCCCTGTGTGATATGCTGTAGTAGGTCTCATAGAAATATCGTAGTATTATGATGGTAAGTGACACCTTGGTAATCTTTTTACATTGCATGTTATTGTAATCTCGCAGTAGTATGGTAGCATCGTTGTAGGAACGTTGCCGACACTTTGAGAGGCCGTGCCAAGGTCCCAAATGCCTCGGCTCTCCACCCAAGTCATCGAAACCTTCAACCCAAAATCCTGAACCCCGAATCCCTGAACCCAAAAAACCCACGAAACCCGAAACCCCTGAACAAGAACCTTGAATGGAAACCGTCAATGTTCAGCCCTGAACCCGAACAGAGAACCCTTATGACTTCTAACCCTTCCAAAACCCTAGTGAAGCCCTCGCAGAACCCTTAAAGCATTCTGTCATTCAACCCGAAACCCCACCAAAACCCCACGAAACCCCCTAAACCCTAAACCCTAAACCCTAAACCCTAAACCCCCCAACAGCCCAGCCTTCGGCTCACGGCTCCAGGCCTCAGCTGGGGAGGCGGCCCCTGAGGAGCCGAAGGCCCAGGAGGGCCTGCCTCAGCTCCGGTGGCAAGGGCGCCTCGAGGTGCACCTGCCAAAAAGGTGGCTTACTTACTGGCTACGGTTTAGGGTTTAGGGTT